TAACAAAATCAATAGTAATGGTCTGGAACAAGTCTAATCAGTTGAGACTCAATGTAGAGAGAGTATTTGATGGATGGTTCTTTTTTCCAATTCATTTTACCTGTTGTATTCATTTTCCCCCAGAAAAGACATATTCTTTCTTATAGGGTCAAGTTCACTTTTCAAATTTATTTTTCATAATACTCCTGGATTCAATATCTCAACTGTCCAGTTGTCACTAACTGATTATCTATCTAAACAGATACATATTTTGAAGTGATTTATGCTCTGGAAGTCTACTTGGATTACTGAAATCCCTTTGGTGGGAAAATGAATTTGAAATATCCATGGCAGAATTTTTTAACATTCACTTACAAGGTCCATCAAACAATGCTTTCTCCAGTATCCTCATAAATCTTAATGAACTCTTAACCCTTCATATCTTGAGAGCATATAGAGAAAGCATTATACTAAGAATCAAGAATCTACAACCAAACTGAAAAACTACCAAATAATAATCTATGTATGTCAAAAGTACTAATTAATTTCCCAACCTTCCCTGTCCCTTTGAATGCCATTAACATGGGTTACTTTTGCTTCTTATTTAAGGTCCTTTCATGATTCATTAGAGGAGAATACATTTAATAAACTGAGGCTTAGAAAAAAGTTACATTGTTATGTTTTGCAATTTCATTAAATATTATTGAACTCTTTGTCCAGAGTGATTTGACTTTTTATTTTATTTTGTTAACCACACATTGAATAGATTATAGTTCCCTTTCTCTCAGATACAGAAGGTGTGGAGACTTCTGAAATAGATAATTAATCTCTTTTGCTATCTATAGTTTCATAGTTAACACTGTCTTGGTTGAAGTGTAAAAACACATTCGCACTTTAAAAAACGGGTGATTAGTTAATCAAATGACAATATGAATGGTAGACAAATACAAAAATGACTGCAAGGTGGAGCTATTTATGAGCAGCCACATTTTGTCCATGGGAAATGTATTCATTGTTATTTATAAATTTCAATTTCTTGTACTTTGGTGGCTTTGTATTCAATATGATTCAGCTTCATCGTTATGGTCCTGCACCAGTTTAATCTAGCAATCACTTTCTTCCTTTGGCCATGTTCACTGAAATAATGAACTGTAATGACTAGGGCAGGGGTAGGCAACCTTGGCTCAGGAATTCTGGGAGTTGAAGTCCAGGAGTCATAAAAGAGCCAAGGTTGCCTATTCCTGAACTAGGGCAAGGATTTCTATGACATGTCATATTTTTTCTGGAACCTATATTTAAATTTATAAATAAATTAAAACATATTTTGGAATTATCTGGTGAGAATTAAATGTTTTTATTTTGCCTGAAAAGCCATATTTTGACTTTTTGTTATGTCATATTTTGCTTAATTTTGTAACAAATGTCATATTTTGATCATATTTTTGTCCTTGGCAACCCTTCTGTAAGCCAGCAAGTTTAAGCAGCAAAGAAAGTGAGAATTTGCCTGTTAGTTTCCCAACTCAGAGAGCAGTGTGTGTGTGTGTGTGTGTGTGTGTGAGAGAGAGAGAGAGAGAGAGAGAGAGAGAGAGAGAGAGAGAGAGAGAGAGAGAGAGAGAGAGAGAGAGAGAGGTGGGAACAAAGGTTTCTCATCTGAACAGGCTTGGAAAAAAGTAGAGAAATTTGCTTGTTTTACTTTCTTATTTGTTCCACAACTCAGGTGTGTACGTGTTTGAGATGGTGATCACATGAAAGTTGCAATCTGATTTCACCATGCCTAAAAGTAGATATTCAACCAGTGTAAAATTACAGCGTCTTGTTTAAGAATTTGGGGAGATTTTCAGTAGTGATAGTGAAGTTTTGTTTTGTAAATTGTGTGAAGTTAAGGTATTGGCTCATAATCATTTTAATATTCAACATTGTGAAACCACAAAATATAAGAGTTGTTTAATGAAATTTACTTTCACTGAAAATAGGCAACACCTCTTTTTTGAGAGCTTTTTCTACAACTGCAGGTTGATCAAATACCCAGTTAGAATTTTGTACAATGTACAAGGATCTCTGTACAATGATGGTTCTTCAAATATCTTTTTAAGAAATTGGGAAATTTTGAAAAGTATACCAGCCACTTGATTCCAAATGAATCAGCTCCAAGGAAAAATTACATCTCTGCCTGCTATGACAATGTATTAGGAAAAATAAGATCTGCTGATGACAACATAAAATATGGGTTTCAATAGATGAAATATGTAAGTGGAATGATATGTAGCCAGTGTTATTATTGGCACTCTGAAATGTGATAAGTCCTGGTGAAGTATTTTGTCTAACATGTGAATCTCTACAAAAAATAAACAATTCCACTAATGCTATCCTCTTTGATGATTTTATGAAACTGCTCTGGCTGCATGGTGTAAAAAGGCGAAATATCCTTCTCTTTGTAACAGATGCTGCTCCAAAAATGACTAAAATAGCCAAAGGATTTAAACGTCTCTATTTTGAAATGGGAAAAAAATGTTTATTAACAAGTATTTCATACAGATATGCCTTTTATCCATCATACTTCCTTTTACCATTGCCTTCTGTCCTCCCACACAGAACAATGGGTTATATGTGTACGTATATATGTGTATGTACAGTATGTACGCATGTATGAATGAGTATGTATATATATACACACATATATACATACACACCCACATGCACACCCATCCTGAATATGTTTGTAGATTGTATATTGTTCTTACCTGGTGGGATGTAGGCAACAGTATGTTAGTTTTTGTCCAGCCTTCAAAGGTAAACAGGGTCAACAAACAGGAGTTGCTAAGAAATATTGGAATTTACTTTAGGGCTATATTCATATCTGATTAGAGTATATAATGGACTTTTGTCCCCTTATAACCCCTCTCTACTACCACATAAACCTAATACAAGACATGTTGCCATACATTAAATAGAAATAGATGCCTTTTTGGAACTTCTCTGTTTCCATCATTCATTAGATGATAGCAATACTATCTTAAATGCCCTACCATTTCTGAATCCAGTTTGCACATCTGGGCTTCCTCATTCCATGTATTGTTAATTCATAGTTGCAACGTCCTGAGTGTTATCTTAACTGGTGAGGTAAGCGCAACTCTTTGATTCTCTGAGCATTCTTTATACTATCTTTTTTGATATTACAATACAACTTGGAAAACTTGAATGTAACTTGAAAAAAAGTTTTTTTCCCTAATCCCTCATCTATGGTTGTTTTTTCTATACATATTTACAAACTATATGAAGCACATTAATTACATTACTTCATAAGATTTTAAACAGTTACTTATATTTTATCAACTTCTGAAGCCCCGTTGTTAGCAATATTTTCTACGGGGCATGTATCTTCATTCCAGAATGTGAGGCTTTTTGTTGATTAAATAAAGTTCCTCTAAGTTTTCATTCAAAGTATGTAGTCCATTTGATTTCCATGGAGATCTCAGTCATCTAGGCCATGGTTGTTCAATAGTGCTTTTTCAAAAGGCAACTTGACTTTTTTTTCTCTTTGAAGACATTTTGCTTCTCATCCAAGAAGCTTCTTCACCTCTTCAGAAAAAACATCTTTGGGACATCCATTTGATTTCATAGATATCCATGTGATGATCTTTAAAGTTATTTTTTAGGTTATCAGAAAGAAGTATTTTCAAGAGAAATCTCATTACTATATCTTGGCAGAACATTGCTAGTCTATCACATACTTTGTTTCATATAAAAATCGCCATTTTTCTGTTATTCCAGATGATTATTTACTACCAATTTTAGCATTACATGTAATTAATATTAAGCTTTTTTGTACTGTACTGATATTATGTTGCAAATTAGCATAGAATTATTTAGTATTGGCTTCCTTAATATTTGTGGTTAGAGCATAGATTGGGATTAACATAATATTGACAAATATGCCTTGAATTGAGAATAATTCTTTAAAACAAGAATGTGTGACATCCCCTGGCTGCTTAATGTATCTGCAGATAAATGCAAAACAAATGTTGTGGTGCATGTGAAAGTGTGTAGATGATATGAATATATGTGTACTTTTTAGGCAGAAGGTACTGTGCTGTTGACTGAGATCTGATATTTGCAGTGATGCAGTAAGATATATATAAAAAAATTAATGCTGCAAAGATATTGTATTGCATAAGGAATATTGTACTAAAAATTAATGTTTCAAAGATGCAATAATTGTGTTTCACAGAAAGGAAATAGTGCAGGATATACAGGAATGGCAAAAAACAAGAGCAAGTAAATTATTTTCTGTATTATGTCGTCTCTTGTAAGGAAACTAAGAAAGGTAAGAATTAAGAATAAATGGGTATTGAATGAATATGTACTGAACAGAAAAGTGACTGTCAATGCTAAATAGATTCATCTGGTTTGGCAATACAGAGAATTAAGTCTGAATTGCAAAACAAATATATGAAATGAATTGAACAGAAGAGATAACAAAGAAATTCATTTGTTGAACCCTTCAATTTGCTGAAATTGATAATCCTGAAAAATTAGATTTTTTTTTCATAGACTTATCTCAAAAAAAACTAAGCAAAGTCAGGCTATAAAGTGCTACCACGAAATCTTAGCCTTGTAAGTTAAGTTGGGAAGTCAATAAACTATCCAGAAGACTCCTTGCATAAGAAACTGCATGGATTTGTCATTGAACTATTCCCTCAAAAGTTGTTAATGCCAATTTCTCTCAGTCTTTCAATTGACACAGACACCCCGGGATTTTTCCTGAAAAGGGAGAAGATGCCACATTGATTCTTGAAACTCTTCTTGTTTTCTCTCTCTCTCTCTCTCTTTTTTTAGAAACACTCCGAAACAGCCCGGGGCGACTCCAGTTACAGCGCTGGCTCTCCCAGGTCAATACCCTCCGATGCTTAGGGGCCGCTGCTTCGCACTTTCTGTGGGACCGCTCCTTCTGTAGTCGCCGCAGAAACTCTTTGACGCAGGCGCCGTACGACCTCAGGAGGATGTTTTTGTCTGGTGACGTAGAGGACGAACGCTGTAGAGGTCGCGCGGCTTTTACACCGGGCGTTTCCGGGGCTGTGAGATTGCGTATGGGTTGTTTCCTGCTTCGAGTAGTAACTGCTCCTTATGGCAAAGAAGCTGCCGATGGAGTCTGTCTATAGTACTGCAGGTAGGGGCAGTTGTTTCCCCTGCTATTTTATGCACATGAATCACAACGTTGTGGAGGGCTTCTACAATCAGCAGCACCTGTCCTTTCCCTCTCATATATTGTAATTCTGCTTTTATTTTTCTCTGTCTTTACACTGGGGTTTTCCAGATAGGTTGGGGTTACGGTTCCCAGCCAGCAAGGAATAAAGACCACGCTGGGTGGAAATTCAGAGGGGCATAATCGTCTCACTGCACCTGGAGATGACTTTTAGAGGGAGAAAATACTGAGATTATCAAAGCAATGCTTTAAAGTTCTATGCTTTTCCTAGTAAGCAGATTTCCAGATTCATTGTACCATTCTTGAAACTATGGATTATTGTTAAGTCATTAAAGATTGAAGTTATATTAAAGAAGCAGTGTTGCTTTTTGACTCTAGATTTGTGATTGGTTTTAGTGCCCCCACATATTTCACTTTCTAATGGACAAAAATGGTGCCGAAGAATGTTGATCAAGGAATATTATTCTCATTTAAATAAAATCAGAATGCAGTAGTTTTAAACTATTTGTGTTCCCAAATAATCAGATGCTTACATGTATTACTTAATTGTTCTCTTTAAACAATGTAGCAACTTAACATAAAAATATGAAAGGAAGTGTCCTAACCCTTAGTGGGAAGAGAAATAATCTAAAACTATGTTAAAACATTATTTTTATTAGGAGTCTCCAGATTTACAGAATACTGTGTAACTTTTGAATTTCTAAGGGAATGATCTTCATCAGGTTAGGGTTGGCTGAGGGTAATGGAGTGCATTGTTGCTGAAAGTAATGGTGACTCAGAGATAATAGATTTCTAAGGGAGGCAATGATAGATACATGTCTTAAACAAATAACTTTCCGGTTTGAATGATAGCTTCTATGCTACAAATGCCCCTCAATATTTATAAACTGTATGATGCTGTGATAACATTGAACATGTTACATAATTGGTGACTGCTTTTGCTCTCCCCCCCAAGTTGTTGCTAAGGTTTTATTTATATGTTTTACTTGACTTCCATGGTATTTTTTTCTCCAATCCAGAATGCCATTGCTGAAGGAAATCCTGTGCAAAGCGAGCCTGGCAAACAGACAAATATATATAAGTAGTGCTATAACCTGTGCATACTTACACATTATTCTAAGTCAATGTTTTCCAAACTTGGCAACTTTAAGAGTTCTTCTCCTAACTGCATCTTACACATGTTAAAGTTGCCACATTTGAAAAACATGGTTTAAGCATAATTTGTTTATGTTGACTACATTGTATTACGGTTTAGTGCAATGTGTGAATAATGTAGTTCTCCATTTAATCTAATCTCTTTTGTTCTAACAGTGGCTTGTTGGGTTGTCAGCCAGAAGTCTTAGCTCCCTATTATTTGATCTTTTAACCAAACATACATAAAATGAACCAGGGATATTTTGCATTCAGAATGATTACAAATCTGCTGTCCTATCTAGGTCCACAGTGGTTCTGTTTGAAATGGTAACATAGTTAGACCATTTTAATTAAAAATATAATAATCTTAAGCCTTATAATAATGGCTTTTTAGAGCGCTTTATTTTTCGGTTTCAGATGAGTTGAGATAACTGCTGTATATATTTGGAAGCTGCTTTCCCATTCCATAGTAACAGAAACTTTTGGAGCATGAACAAGGCCATATATGCAGTCCTCATTCAGTGACCACAAATGTGACTGGTGACTCAGGCATTAAGCAAAACAATCACTAAGTTCTTCTTCTTCTGTATCTAGATCAAAGTTTAAACTGCCAGAATGAAGCCACCTTCTTGGCTTTGTCATTGACCAAAAATAAGTTATTATCAGTACATGTTTCTAGTAGTAGCAACACACCAGCAGATGTGTTGGTCTCTGTCTCTCCACATTCACATAGCATGTTGTTATTTGCTAAGAGCCTCCAGTTGAGCACATTGGCTTTACATTTAGGCACTCCAACTCTCAACCTATTCAGGATTCTCCAAGTAATATAAGGGAAGTCAGATCCTTCAGCCAAATCCTTTAATGTGATTCCTTGTTTGGTGATCTTCCTCCATCTTTTAATTTGATTTTATTCTTGTGTATCCTCAAGAATGCTTGTTCTTGCCATAAAGCTGTCCCTAGATCTCAGTTGACAGGCTTGGGCATATGTCCATTCAGAGGATATCGAGAATCATTCTCTTGCTTAGTTTTCTCAGGATCTGCTGCTACCTTTCTCCTGATCTTAGGTGGCACAGATAATGTAGGTTTGAGACAACCTGTCACTAAGCGTACTGCTTCATTGACACTAATATCAAATTGTTTCATGTGAGCAGATGTGCCCCACATTGGAGCAGATACTGTGTTGCAGAGATGCTCAAGGCCAAATTTCTGTGCACAATGTATATGGTTAAGCTCCCCATTTGTATTTTATCAGTTTCCTGATGATATTCTTACATGCACTGACTTTAGCCTTAGTGTTCAGGTAATGCTGTTTAAAAGAGAGTGTCCTGTTAAGTGTCATGCCGAGCTACTTTGGTGTTGGACAGTGCTGTAGTTGGTTCTCTTGCTGCATAATATCCAACTTTTTCCTTGCATCTCAATTTCGGAGGTGGAAAGCACAAACCTGGGTCTTGTTTGGGTTGGGCTTTAAATGGTTGATGGTGTAATAATGTCTTAATTCTTCAAGTGCTACATAGGTTTCCTGGCTACCTCATCAAAAATTGATCCTTGTGCAGCCACTGTTGTATCATCTACATAGATGAATAGATGTGTTTTGTCAGGGACTGGTTGATCATTTGTATATATGTTATACAGTGTTGGAGACAATACACTTCCTTGTGGCAGCCCTTTGTTCTGCATCCTCCATCTGCTGTTTTTACTATTAAGCGTTAAATAAAATCTTTGGTTCTGGAGGAAGCTGTCAATAACCCTGGTAAGCTTATTATCTCTGATATTATTTAACTTGTGTAGTAATATGGTTAACAGTGTCATATGCTGCAGTTACACCTATAGAAGCCACTCCAATAATTAGCTTTCTTTCTATCCTCAGTCACTAAATGAAAAAAATCACACAACTGCAAGTATGCCTATGATTTTTCACAGGACAGTGCTTATTAACTGACCGGCAAACACTTGATTAAGAGATGCTGCAAAGGTCACAAATGTGGTTATTGATTGTAAAGTTACTTTTTCATCACCCTCCAAAGTAGTCACTGTCCAAAGCAGTCACTGAGCAAAGACTATATTAGATGCATTTGAGATTATCAGAGGGTGACATAAAATACAAAGTAAACGGAGCCATGTCAAATGGATAGGTGGAGAATGGATTTTCATTCCCCCTCTCAATTCATGGTTATAAATATCAAAATGTTATGCTTGGTTCATGCTACTTTAGGATTGTGGAACTGGTTGTGGAATTGCTTGGCTTTTGACAATCATGGTTGCAGGGAGTGCCAAGTGTTGAAAGAAAAGTGGCAGAAGGTTTAGGCCATAGGAGCTGTCGAAACAGAAGGGGGGGTTGGCCTACACCAGGGTGTCAAACTCAATTTCACTGAGGGACGCATCAGCATTACGGTTGCCCTGGGGGTGGGTGGGTGGGTGTGGCCAGAGGGTGCAGCCTACTGGGTGGGCGTGGCCAGTTCTACATCATTCGCGTCAAGGGTGCCTATGAGGGCCTGGGCAGGAGTGAGGCAGATCTGAGGGTCTCTGGCAGAAGGGGGTGGGACCAGGGAAAGTGCCAAGGCATGGTCCACTGGGGCAAGTCCCAAGATGGCCACCACAAAATTGTACATTGGCTCCCGGCTGGCCTGGGCCAAGGCAGCGGGGGCCGTTCCCTCACTGTTTCCAGGATGGCTTCGCGGGCCACATGAAACCACTTCGCAGGCCGCATCCGGCCCCCGGGACTTGTGTTTGACATGTCTGGCCTACACCTATCCAGGAGTTAACTCCCTCCCCTTATCTGGCCTTTTATACACATAAACCAACCTTTTGTTAGTATATGTATGTATAACATTCTGAATTGGCTTGAATTCTTGTATGTAACATGAAGCATTGAATATAGCTATATCATGCATATTCCACATTCCACATTAACAATTGTTAGTCAAACAAAAGATGACACAAATATGTTCTTCTGGAAGAAACCTGAAAATAGTTGAATTGAAAATACAAATACATTCTTTTGGAACAAAGTGAAAAAAAATGTTGAATTGAAAATCAAATTTACTGATACTTTTGGGGCTTCATTTACACCTATATGTTTCGCTTGTAAATTATTTTATTTGTATTTATATACATCCTGTAACAAGTTGTAAGGGCTGGAGATGGGCTTAAATCTTTGCTTATAATATTCTCCCAGGCTTTTATGGCTGGTTTAGACATTCTTCCGCTTATATAACATAAAACAAATTATCTTATAGTTTCATAAATGCTAATGACGATTTTACATTGTGTATCAGTGCTTATTAAAGGAGAAAATTGGAACAAAGTTCCAAAGCTTATCAAATAGCTTTAGTTCACATTAATGAATTTAATATTAACCAAATAAAAGCAATTAGCGTACTTTTTTTTTAAAAAAAAATGAAAAGATGTGGGATGAAAAAAAGTTTAATTATGTTCTTATGTAAAAAGTCTTCTGGAAGTATCTATGTAGCAAGGAAAGTTTCCATTATTATTAGTAGAAATATGCTATACTATGCGAACAGCAGCTTCACGGGTTGATTTCTATCAGGGTCATATGGAAAAGATATTTTTTCTTGTCCCCTCATTGTAACTTTGGTTGCTGTTTAAGTACTAAAAAGTACTGCACATTAATTGAATACATGTAGTTCACAAGTCTGGCTTATTAAGCAGTAGGATACAAGAAAGATCTGTATGGGAAAAACATAGATTTATTACAGTTATATATTTAAAATACTCCATTTTAGGTCTCCAATACTTACTTGATACTTCCCAGTTATTTTGGGAACCAACGTCTTCCTACTTCTATACTTTTTTCCATTTTGTTCTGAGTC